TAATCTGTCAATCATCATTTTCTTATACCATGCGTCCCGGTAATAAACATGTATTTCATACATCACGTCTCTCCTGATTGAAATAAGGACCTGCAAAAATGAATACTATCGTAAATTACTAGACAAAAATAAAAACAACATTAAAGGAATATGGAGCATACTGAATAGTATTGTAAAAAATGGGTCTAGAAAAAGGAGTTATCCCACATACTTCATTGACAAGGATAAGGAAGAGGAAAATATGGATGTTGTTAGGGCTGTGCGATTATGGCAAATCATAATCACGATTATTTGGGTCAATAATTGATATCACGATTATTTTGACGATTATTCATTGACCATTTATTGAACTTTAAAACAAATAATATTTTACCAATAAACAAGATCAACAAATATGTTGGAGCGCACTTCCAAAACCATACTAAACATATTATTAATATGATAAATAAAAATAAATTAGACCAAAATAAATTAAATCAAATATGATGCAGTGCACGGTCACAACCTACTGAAAACTCCTTAACATATAGCCAACATTTTGGTAAAACATATTCAACATATTCCACTCAGTTAAACGTTGAAGGCTGGCCAACCGTCATGGTCCAGAAGTAACAGGAAATAAATGTTGAACTACAATTTAAGACCAAATAAAAATGTTTAGGCCACCATGGCAAATGCTGGTAGGGCTGCTCATGTCATCTCTTAAAGATTGTTCGCTAGAAACACCAGCCTGTTTACATGGTCTGGTTTCAGAGATGAGCGCAGGGAGGTGACAATATTGCCACCTGTACTGAAGACCCTCAGCCACGCCCCGACACATGGGGTGACGCAGGCCAATCACAAAGCTTTGATGCGTTCAAGTGCATTATTCTGGCACAGGAAGATTATGTTACAGGACATTAACGATACAACAGAATATTGTTGTTCTATTTTTAGACACATCTCGCGATCGACTGGTTGGGCACCCCTGGGCTAGACCATAGGTCTGTTGTGGTAGCAAAGTAGTCAGCTGAAGCCACATCTCTCTCAACTTCCCCACGGCATTTGTCATATAACGCAGGCAGCGCAGACCTGCTGAAATAATACCGAGACGGCATCGCGTAACGCTTGTCCAACGTGTTGACAAGTTGCTTAAAGCCCTGGATGCTAACAGTGCTAACTGGGCACATATCTTTAGCGATGTGAAATGTAATGGCACCTGTAATATCTCTGTGTCTCTGCGAGCTCGTAGCGTAGGCCGTTGCTCTGTACAATGCGTCCTGAATCGATGACTGTGATGATGCGGTGGATGAAGTCGAGCGGGCATCTGCTTTTTGTTGTATTATTGCCCGGTCGTATTGCACTTTGTGGTTGTATTTCAGGTGATTAAAGAAATTGGTTGTGTTAGCGTGTGGTGCCAACACACCCTGGTAACAAATCCTGCACTGTACTTTGTTTTGCTCCACGTCGGACTCCTTAAAGCCAAAGTACTTCCAAATAGTGGAAATAGTTTTACCCTTCTTTTTAACGAGTTGCTGCTCTTGATCTGACATCTTCGCTCTCGCTGAACACTCACAACACATGTCACTCCCACGTGGCCGAGTGGGCTTTTAGGGAGGGGCGAAAGCACACCCAGCTAAATAATCGTATTTTGTCAATTATGCTGTTTTCATAATCGTCGCAAGCCATAATCGTAATCGCGATTAAAATACGATTAATTGCACAGCCCTAGATGTTGTATCCAACAGTTTCAATGATTTCTTTGTAAATGTTGGACCTGAATTAGCAGGTAAAATCCCTGATGGAGGAACATCAGGAAAAAAACTGGAAAACGTAATCCTTTCTCAATGTTCCTCACAGCAGTGGATGAAAGAGAAGTAGTTGATATTGTAACGAAATGTAAAAACAAAAAATCTACCGATTGTGATGACATTGACATGACTGTATTAAAAAAGGTTATAGATGTTATTTCAAAACCATTCACACACATATGTAACTTATCATTCCAAACTGGTGCATTTCCTAACAAAATGAAAATAGCAAAAGTCATACCTTTGTTCAAAGCTGGGAACAAACATCACTTCACAAACTATAGACATGTCTCACTTCTACCACAATTCTCAAAAATTCTTGAAAAGCTTTTCAATAACAGACTGAACAATTTCATAGAAAAACACAAACTTCTCACCGAAAGTCAATACGGATTCAGAGCCAATAGATCAACATCGATGGCTTTAATAGACTCACTTGAAGAAATTACTAGCTCAATTGATCAAAAGAAACATGCCATTGGAATATTCATTGACCTAAAAAAAGCATTTGACACAATTAATCATGACATATTAATAAAGAAACTGGAACGTTATGGAATCAGGGGTGTAGTTTTGGAATGGGTAAGGAGATATTTAACCAACAGGCAACAGTTTGTGAAGCTGGGAGTGTTGTTCTTCATATTTGGACATTACATGCGGTGTCCCCCAGGGGCCGAAACTATTTAGTATATTAATGAAATATGCAATGTATCGACAGTACTCAAGTTTGTTTTGTTTGCTGATGACACTAATATATTTTGTTCTGGGGACAATGTACAGCTACTATTGGAAGAGATCACAGCTGAAATATGCAAACTAAAGTTATGGCTAAACAGTAATAAGTTATCATTAAACTTGAATAAAACAACATTAATCATATTTGGAAATAGCAATACACTAGCATCCATTAAGATAGATGGGATTTGCCGATAGCCTATATGCGAATGAGAGGTTTGGCAATGCACGTGGCCGTGGCTCATTCCCCTGATAGGTGGAGAGTTGACCAATAAGCGGAGCACGTCTCTTTGTGACGTAGGAAAGTGTTGAAATCTGGATCCGTTTTTTTCAGATCCGTTTCAGCCCCTTTTTTAGAGATTTGGCGAAGGAGGAAAATAGAGAGGGTTGTGTTTTCTGACACTTGGTGAGTTCCCTGGAACACCGGGGACACATATTCATGTATAAAAGACGTCCAAAGGTGCATTTTGCATGATAGGTCCCCTTTAAGTTAATGTGCAGAGGTTTGGGGCAGTAGTTATAAAACTACAACACAATCCCTATTTATTTTACAAAAAAGAGCAATAAGACTTATTACAAATGTCTGCTATAGGGATCATACAAACCCATTAGGGGTGTAACGGTATCCGTATTCGTCCCGTACCGTCACGGTTCGGACGTCACGGTTCGGCACACGCAGTCACACGACGAATACGCCTTTTTTTTTATGAGTGGGAAAAAAGTCTGTCATTCAGGGCAGTATCCACTACACTATATATAATCCAGGGGGCGGTATTGCGCCTAAAAGCTGTTTGCCAGCCGCCCTTAAACAACAAATGAAGAACAAGAAGAAACACAACAACAAAACGAACAAAATACAAGAAGAAGAAAAGTTAGTATGGCGATTTCAGATAACACACATGAGCTAGAACCCACCTGCTTCTTTTAAATCAGCTGTGTGGGAACATTTCGGGTTCCCTGTGGACTACAATAACGATGGAGTGCGAGTGGTGGATCGGACGAGGACGGTGTGTCGGCGTTGTTCTACAGTGGTGCGGTATGCTCATGGTAACACACGCCAAACATGCTACTCATATCAGAAGGCATCACCCAGATTTGCCAATCACCGGAGCCCGGCAAAAGACAACAGCAGTTCAACAGCTGATCCCCGCTGTTTTTAAGAAGCCAATAGACATGAAAGCCGAGAGACCAAAATAAATAACGGAAGCTTTTGGCATATGTTTTTCAACGACTATGTGCTCTTGAAACACTTTCTTATTATTTATGATGTCATATTTTCAAGACATTCTTTTTAGCTTTACAGCTTGATGAAACCTTTTTGTTTGACATCAGCCATTATAGATAATATGGCCATCTGAGTGTACTGTGTATGGTTTGTTTTTAACTGTTTAATACAGTTCATTATTCAAAAAAGAGTTCTTTATTTTTAAACTGAAACTTGCACTACTGTTCAAACATAAATAACAACAAACCTGGAATTATGCATTTGGGACTTTTTTTTGCTTTTTCTTGTTGTACCGAACCGTACCGAACCGTGACCTCCAAACCGAGGTACGAACCGAACCGTGACTTCTGTGAACCGTTACACCCCTAAAACCCATTATTCTTAGAGCTAAAATTATTAAAACTGTCAGATCTTGTTTTAATTCCAAATTGCACAAATCATGTTTAAGGCAAAAAACGTTCAATTACCTGGGAATATTCAGATATTGTTCAATGAAAGACAAGGGAATTATAATTTACGTGGTTCATTTATATTCACTTATGTTACAACAAAGATACGTTTTTGTGTTTCTGTTTGTGGGGTGAAGATCTGGAACAATTTGAGTGAGGAGCTAAAGGGATGTCCAAACATCAAACTATTCAAAAAGAGGTATAAAGACACAATTCTCACAAGGTACAGGGATGAAACTGCTAAACCATAACTGTTTATATTCTTGTTTTGTATTCAATTTATGAATTTGTGTTTGTATGAATTTGTGTATGTACATATATATATATGTATACACATATATATATAAATATATATATGTATACACATATATATATAAATATATAGAGACCATTCTCCTAACTTGCCTGTATATATTATATGAATGATTATATAAATTATTCAAGGTTAAAGTATACATTGATATTGTATGTTAACATATATTAAGATGTAAAACGAAAAAAAAAGAAAAAATGTTAAAAGGGAGAAGGGGATTAAATAAGTGTAAACTTCTTCCGACCCCTTTTCGGACGTGTAATTAGCAAAAGTTTTGTTGTTTATTGTTATCAGACAATGATACTACAGATTATTCAATTATTAATTAAATATTTCGTTTTGTTATTGCATTCATTTGTATAGTACTGTATCATGTCTGTATCATCTTTTGTTTCATTTGTATTTTCTTTGGTTTTACACGCTCGAAAAAAGAAAAAAAAACTAAACTAACACAATTGAACTAATGCATCACATATTGACAGACCTACCTGATGTTGTACGTCGGTTGTGTCTGGTGGACTACAGTGCTGCATGTTGGACACCTGTTGCTGTAGAAGAAGTGCTTCATGATGCAGCTTTTGCAAACTTGGAGAAGATAAACACATCAAAATAAAGTCAGGACAGTAGATGGCAAAGAGAGATTCATATGGACTTTTAAAGCTGATATACATATCAATCTTTGAGACCTCAGAACTATAATCTTTGATTTTGAAGATAGTCATCTTTTAAATTCAAGGTGTTTGTTAAACAACTGATACATTCAGTGAACCGAGTAGTTTAAAAATGATGTTTTCAAAGAATATTGATTCACAAACTATAGAGAAACAGTTTCCTCCAATATAACATGTGTTTTGCATTTCTGTAATGACATTTCTGATACATGTTGTCTATATTAAGATCAGCTATAACCTGTATCCGCTAAACACATAATGGTTCAACTGCTCTCTTCTTGTGTATTGTGTTGTTAAATCTGATATGCATGTTATAGGACCATCAATCTAGGAAGGACATATTGGTATAAGCATCCTGAAAGTTTACTTGCATCGCTAATGAACATAGTTCCATTGTTTCCTATGTGAATATCTGCATCCCAAATAGAGAAACCCTCATTATTGCGATACAGTAAGTTAGGGACATAATCAGGGCTGCACATAACTGGTGCGCAGGTGCGCATGCGCACCTCCGCCAAAAAAAGAGCACCGGGTCATTTGAAACAAAGCGCATTTGCGTACCAACATTGAGAGAGGGAGAGAGAGAAGGGAAAAGAGAAAAGAGAAAATAGAGGATAGATGAGAGAGAGAGAAGAGAGAGAGAGAGAGAAAGATATTTGCGAGTTGCATATGAACCATGATATGAACTCAGGGCCGGCCCATAGCGCTGGCTAGATGTTCGCCTAGGGCGCCAGATCTGGGGAGGTGCTGCGCTGGCAGCTCTGGGAGGGAAAAAAACATTTTGACCGTTAGGGCTCATCCTAATTTTCGGCCTTGATGTAACAATATTCATAATTAAGTCAATGTAACACCCTTTTCACCCCGGTTACACGTTTCATTTGCCCTGTACGATGGGCGCTGCAAGTGATGAAAATGGGGGATGTTGGCTTATCTGGCGCCCGCAGCTCACAGCCAAAATGCGAGGGAGAGAGGGAGGGTGCACCGGTACCAGCGCTGTTGTTATTAGAATCTGGTGCCGTGCTAGCTGCTCTAACGGATATAAGAAGAAGATGTTTCTACAATAATGTGGAGGGAGAGTCCTCTCCAGTCAGACTGAGAGGCTGATAAGTTAACTACAGCTCAGTGAGGTAAAGTACTCTGAGTGTTTAGATAGTTCACTTTAGTCTAAGTTCAAACGGTTTGGTCACAATTTATGTAAACACATATTTCCAAGGCACTCCTTTATAATTATTGGGATAAACAGGTTTGAAATCATTCCAATGTATACTATAGGACAGTAACCAAAAATATCCTTTAAAACTGGAGATAAAAAAAAAATGCATAAATAAATAAATGTTAAGGTAAAATAAGATATGAATGAACAACACAAATAAAATAAGTTACATTCATTTGTTATTGGCTATGGTAGGTTATTGGTTATGTTCACATACTTATTTGATTACATCCACTTGTCTAAGATGACAACAGAGACTTTCGACCCAAAACCAGCTGTTGACTTGTGGATGCAAGCATCTAATCACAGACTCAACCAGAGAGAAAGTAGTAGGCCTACATCATCAGCTACCATGTCTGACAGTCAGGAGGGTAGTGATGACAGCTTGTAGGATTACTGGTCATGCTAATGTTGTCTTGTGTTCACCTCTGCATGTGTGTTCTGTGTTCACCTCTGCATGTGTGTTTAGTGCCGTGTGTCTGGCAAATAAAGTCCAGACCCCCTCAAAAGTTACGGTTTATTTCATTTTAAGGATGAGCACCAAGCAACATCTCCAGGTGCTCCTTTGAGAACCAGGGCAAAAAAAGTGATGTGCACCCCTGGACATAATGTATTAAATTAACATCACAGTTCATGTGGATCTCCTGCATCCTCTCAAAGTATTTTGAGGACTACAGAAACTAAAGCAGATCTCTGGTATAACTTGTTGTCACTCACATGTGTGCAGGCACTCTATGATGGTGGTGGCATCGATGAGGAAGTAACTGCACAGGGCACAGCGGATATATGGGTAGAATTCACTGAGAGGACGATTGGGCTGTGAGAGTAAGCACAGTGTCAATGTTGCAGCTTAAACATACATACAGCGCTACATTTGTTGTCTGCCCCGAAAAACAATAATGAAAAGCAATAGTAAATGTGAACTCACCTCTTCTTTGTCCTTTGAATCGTTTGTTGTCCCTTCATGACTCAAGTGAGGCAACATTCTCAACAGCTGTTTACGACACTAAGTTAGAACGAAAAAGAATACATCTCAAAGATACGAGAAGAACTTTTAAATGAAGTGTTTACTTTAAAGTACCAGTAGCTCTTGTTCAATAAACATACAGATGTGAGGATTGACTTTACATGCAACAATACCCTTAAAGGCCGAGCGTGCCGCCCGCGGCTTCAAAGAGGTAGCGTTCTAAAATGCTTAATAACTTTGTAACCGCTAATCCTATCCATCTGATTTAAAAAGTGAGGTAAAGCGGCTATTCTAGGCTTTTTGCTGGTATCACTATGTCCTTTTCCGGGATTCAGAGGCTCCGACGTGATCGGGGCAACGTTATCACATTTGACAGCCTTGATTCGTCAAGGAGACCCACGCGGCCCCTCTGTCTGAGCCAAACAGCAAAGGTTTTAGACTAAGTCCCACCCCCCTGTGTCCGGATAGGTTTAAAAGGGTAAAGGTCCAGGCAAACCTCTGCCCATGCTACCATCTTCTCGACCAATCAACATAGGTTGCTGTGTATGTTTTTGGCGGCGGGAGATAAACAAAGAGAAACAGAGAGACGAGAGAGTAATACTAAAGAAGAGTAATTCTGCCAGCGTAAGATAAATAAATACAACACGAGATATCTAGATACAGTCACACACACACACAAATACACATACATACACACACACACATATCCCAAGACAAATTCAAACCAACATGTCAAAACGGCGTTACACTACGGAAGAAGCCGTAGAATTTATTTTGTCTGGCGGACCGCTTAGCGATGCAGCGGTGGATTCCTCAGATAATGAAGCTGACAACTGGCAAGGAAGAGGAGTATGATCACGGGATTGATCCCTTCGAAGATAAAAAAGTGAGTAACTTTGCTTATTTCTTATTGTTTGTGTTGCATTTATCGGTTGTTGTTTCTGTATAACGCCGAAAATAATTAGTCCTAAGAGTTTTTATAATGGATGGCCATTTGCCGTAATTGTGTCATAAAGTGAAGTCCTGAGCTCAAGATTCACTATCAATAGAGGCTACTATTTATTTCAGTAAAAAAACGTCAAGCAATACCTTTCATTTATTGCCTCATTCCGCTTGCCCTCTTTGGTTGTTTGTTATGAGGTCTAATGTTATTATATTCATTGCATTACAATTCAGTTACTGATTCCATCAACTAGTAATGTTAGCAGAGGGATAAAGTGTGAATCAAATCAAAAGTTGAGACTGTGTTTAGAAAACAGATAGGATGACACTGGAGAAATAAAAGCAATAAAGGAAATAAAATAAATTCAGACATTTATATCTGTATATTTTCCTCCCTTTTATTTTAGTACAGAGGATGAGAGAGGGGATGCACAAGCCCCTGTCCCCTTCAAACCGAGAGGGAAAAGAATGCGGCCAGGAGGGTGCAGCATCCAGAAAAAAGGCCAAACCAATGACAGCCCCCCTGACAGTGAAAGGGAGAGGAAGAGGAAAAGGGAAAAAAACATCTCTGACCCCAGAAGAGCCAGGAGCTGTTTGGAACGGACCTGAGGTGCCAGATACTGCCCAACAACTACCACACTTTTGCCCGAAAAGAGCCCCTGGAGTCCAAGGTTTTGTTGGTGTGGAGTATACTCCTGCACAAATATTTAGAAATTGTTTTAACAACCAAGCTGTAAATATCATCTGCAAGAACACAAACAAAAATGCTGAAAAGGAGCAGGCTAAGGGGGAAAAGTTTGTTTGGGAAAGCCGGTAAAATTCCTCATGTATGTCGGCCTTATGGCACTTCTAAAACTGCTAAAAGTAATTGACTACTGGAGGAAGGGATCACACCTAAGTGTTCTCTTTCCTGCTTCTGTCATGACAAGAGACAGGTTCATGGCAATCAGCAGAGCTGTACATCTGAGCGACCCAGACCATGATGAATGTGGATACATTTCCTTTGCTCTTTATATATTTTTCTAATATTTTGGTTATAGTTTGAAGATCATTTGCTCTTTGTACTTTTGCACTTTCTATATATTCCTAATACTTTGTTTATAGCTTTAATATAATTTGCACTTTGTTAGTTTGCACTTTGAATTTGTTTCACTGTTTGTGTTTGTATTTCAATGTTCAAATGATAATATATATCTCTGAAACAAGTTATTTTTGTTGCAATGTCATCTGTTATGGTTTAATTGTTTACTCTCTCGACCTTTTTTTGACAGAAGAAACATGATCAGTCATTTAAATATGGAAATACATTTCGTTTTAATTATTCCATATGATCCTAGGCGTTTTTCACTGAAAAACGCCTAGGATAATATTGTAATAAATAGCTGTAACTTGCTCAGGGAACATAATATGCAGATGAAATTTAATTTGAAAGCCTAAAACATCTAAATGCAGCTTTGTAAATAATAAAAAAGAAAATCCCTATGTTCCTGGCGGAGTAAACAGTAAAAAAACACAACATTTGTACTGGCGTTTTTGAAAAGTGCTGGTAAATTCAGCCATTATCACACAAAGTTATGGTAAAATTTGGACTTAAAATTAGCCAGACTTGAACTAGAGGTTCTCCTGAATCAAATGAGGTAAGGCACTTGATGCTGACTGCAAGAAAAGGTTAGAACAGGTTAGGAGAAACAAATAAATACAGGAGAGTCAGGCAGGCGAAAATTCCGTCTAGGTCTTTAAGGGTGAATGAAGTGCAGTCTTGTATTTTTCATTTACTTGTACAATACATACTTTTTCTCATTTAACTTTAATATTTTAAATTACCTTACTTAACATTTGGGTACCTAACTAGATATATTATCACTTGAGATTAGAGTAGAGTAACGCAGCGTCCACACGGCAGCGTGCGTTGAAGCTTGCCGGCGGGCGTGTCTGAAGCTCGACCAAAATGCAATCACATCAATCTCCCGCCCCGGACACACAAGCACGCTTCCGTCGAAGCTTGAAAAGTTGAACTTTTCTCAACTTTTGAAGTGAGCAACAGAGGCAAAGTGAAACGACGGAAGCACAATGCAGTCCGGCAAAGCGTGACGTCACCCCATTCAAAGTGAATGGGAAGCTGCGTTGAAGCTTCAACCAGGGTTCGAGTTATAAACTGAGCTCTATGGACACACACACACACACACTACACACACAAACACACACCAGCAGCCCTCTACTGGCTACAAACTTAAATATGAAAAGGTTCAACTTCGCACACACATCATCTCGGCTCGGCTCACAGGCATAGATTGCGCAACCTTGGAAGTGCAGTGCAGGCATATTGTCATTCAAGAGATGCGTAGTTCTTTTGGAAAACATGTTTTTCTTAGCCTATTTACCTCTTTAGCGTAAATAATACTCATTACATTGACACATGCATTATTTGTGATTAAAATAATGGCGTGTAAATTGTGACCAACAGTGTAAACAGCAAACTTGTAAACACAAAGGAAATAAATAAACAAGGTGTATTTAAACGATCTTAACCCAGCATAAATCACACACCCTCGCCCTCAAAGCTTGGTCAACAAGACGGGCAGCGTTTTACAAGGAGATTCGGGTTGAAATTAATAAATTCACTTACAAATTATATCTGTTTTCTCTATTTATCATTCTTTGTGTAACCGGTCTGGATTGACGCCACATGTATCTCTGCGTTGTGTCGAATGAAAACGACTTCCTTCTTGTCAACCAGGTTTATTATCTGTGCAAACAGAATATAATGACAGTAGGAAATGGCTTCACCAGCTTTCTACCTCAATACTTCGCCTCAGTGAGGCCTGAAGCTAACTGAGAATGTAAACATACATTTAGCAAATCAAAATAACCGTATGACATATGTGTCTCTAATAAAAAATGGACATAAATCCACATGCCATATTATGACTTTGATGAAGGATTAAAGCCTTTTTCATTTACAGTATATAATACAGTGATTACAGATAACACACACAACCCGGTCGACTGTACTCACTTTAACATTGCTATGTTGTACAGGCACACTATTAGCATAGCATTAGCGCTTTAGCATTTAAATAATATGAACAATTATGACCTCAGACCAGCATTTCACATATTTATACAAACAGAATAAACTTGAAATGTAAGCCAAACTAGTGCAAGGGAGTCATACACATGGTAACATGGTAGAGCCCTACATTATTCAGGGAGCAACAGCCTGACGCCATTAGCCACACGCTAGTGGCGTAGCTCACAGAATGACATAAAACAGTTTCAAACACACTTCTTTGATCGAAATATGACATAATCTGTGTCCACTAGTGATGTTACGTATTGCGCCGAGGCTTCGGAGCGTGTGTCGAGTAATCCCCGAAGCTTTTTGTGAAGCATGTATCGAGGCTTGTATCGTTTTGTGCCAGTGACGTCATCGATGACAAACGAAGCCTCGCTGCCTGTCGATACCACGTGACTGCTTCACGAAGCGATTCAGATCGGTTGAACCGTTGAACCACAACGCTCATAATACCCATGGATGTATAATAAGAACCATATTACCCCTCCTGTACCCGGGCCCGGTGACACGATGAAATCAAGAGAGCTCAGACCCTCACTGATACAAGCATAAATACATGTAGGAATACAAACATGAATAAATACAGGAATAAATATGTTCCAGTGTTTTCAGGGAGCTGTAGTGTGTGTGCTGTGGCTCAGCTGGAAAGCAGTTGACTCATGACCGCAGGGTCCCTGGTTCAACGACTGAACAATACGTATTTTTTGTTGTTTATAAAAGCTACAGCTAAATGAGACAATGTAGTTAATAAATGTATTCTTTGATATGGTTTAGCCTTTCTCAGGCTACAACATGGTTAAGTTTATGAAGGAATGCAAATCCCTCTTTGCAATGTTTACCAGCCTCCTTAGGCTTTTCAATCACAATCATTCAACTGGAATAAAAACAATATTGTTAACATTAAGATATGATTTTATGTTCGTTGTTTAGAGTTATTCTAAGGCTTTACTCATTGGGAACTCGGTATGAGATAGAGCACACTGTTGAGATGTCCAATCTGCCTGTTTTACACACTTTGACCAACAGGGGGTTTGTGTTCAAATGAAGCCCATGATGAAGCCTCATGAGATGAACCCTTTTGCGAACCAATTGGCTGGAAAGCTTCAAAGCTTCATAAGGCTTCATCTCACCATCACTAGTGTCCACACTACTAACCTGTTGAACAGGAGAAATGAATGAAGCAGATGGGAACGTTGCTGCCATGTGTCGGGTCGTCCCATGGATGTTCTTCTTCTTCTTCTCTCGGTTTTTTGGCGGATTGCAAACAACTTTAAGGTGCATACCGCCCCCTACTGTACAAGAGCGTGTATCAACATATCATCCTGTCAGCACTTGTGGAATTATACCACTGTGTTTACGTTGTTTTCAATTCTTCCAATCAATCCTTTTTCACTCAAATACTTAAGAATGGCCTTCCTGGTAGCTCTTACCCCCTCACCTTCTGTTCCCAGTATCCCCATCAGGCTCCACTCTCCCTGTCTCTTAGTTTTTCCCTCTCTGTTTTGTACATGTTGCAGTGTAATATGATATGTTCCACATTTTTTTTAACTCCACAGTTCCTACGACATAGAGTAACATTCAATGCTGTGTGATCCAGTCTGAGTCTAGCTATCATGATTTCCTAGATTAAGTTATATGAGTAATTCTTCTCTGACAGTTGTTGTTGACTGTATACTTTTTAAAATGGATAATGAATCTGTGCATATCACCACCCTATCTGGTCTGACCTCTTCAACCCACTGTAATCCTATTATTACAGCCAGCATTTCTGTTGCACACTGATAATTGATCTGACGCTCTTTTTGAAATTGATATTTTAAAGTCTGGGATATATATATACCAACTCCAACACACTCTTCCTTGTTCTTAGAACCATCGGGCGGTGGTGGCGAAGTCCATAGGGGCTTGGCAACTGGAAGGTCACCAGTTCAAGTCCCGGAAAGACCAAGTGCTACCGAGTTGTCCCTGAGCAAAGCACCGTTCCCTACACTGTCTACTAAACCGGAAGCTAAAGAAATGGGCGGGGCAGGGCCAATTTGCCGCCCTAGGCAAGATTTTAGCTGGCGCCCCCCCCCCCCCCCAAAATGCAGACACTCACTATGACTCGCGTGTGCACGGTTGTGGCATGACTGTAAGAGAATATTTTCATCTGATCTGTTTATAGAGTCTTTTATGGTTCCTTAGAGTCTGTGATACTGCAAACATCTGCTTGTAGTCAGTCAGAGACTTCTCTGTGGGTTGAGGTCACAGGTCAAACGCGTCTCCTATGTCCGAGGGTTGACCTGGCAGCATCTCTTTGAGACAAGCAGATCATTGTCTTGCATCGGTTATTGATTATACGCGGGCTTTCTGGAAGCCCGCCTCTCCTCGTGTTGGTTAGATGTTTTGTGTCTTTTGGTTCAGAGAGATCGCTGGTGAAACACGGGACGGTGTGCAACTAAGTGATCTCCCCGGCCGTTATTGTCTGTACTGTGATCAATAAACTCTTCAGTGCTTTTGGCTAACAACGGTTCCAGACTCCTTCATTCTACCTCAACATTGCAACAACAGAAGTTTACCTTCACAATGACCACCAAAACAAAGATATTGACACAAGATGTGTGCAACTGTATTTAGTTTCCTATCCATTTGAACATGATTTAAGTGGGGGGGGACCTCACCTCCTCTAGGGGGGTCCGGGGGCATGCACCCCCGGGAAGACTTTTTTTTTTAATATTGAAGTTAAAAGCATCAATCTGGTGCACTTTGAGAGCAACATTAGGAGCTCTATGGATACATCTCTCAACATCCATATGAAATTCTTGTTTATTAATAACAACCTATTTGTACTGTCAGTATTTTATACCTGTTTTTCATCTATTCTCTTATTTTTTTATAACTATAATGATCATATAAAGGTGTGCCTTTACCTCACTGAGCTGAGGTTATCAGAGCCTCTCAGTCTTTCAGGAGAGAGCTCTCTAAAGCTCGCCCCCCGCAATTTCAATGTTAATAAAAGCACACAGAAGCTGTGTAAGTTTTTTTGGGAGTTTGATTTATTTTAAATGAATACAAATACAAAATTAAAACCTATAATTGCACACTAAAACCCTTATTTTAAAAAAAGAACAATTTCACATAAACCTCTGGTTTTTATTGGGACTGGGGCAGTTCAACTTGATTTGGGGGGGGGTGTGCCATAGTTTATGGGCGCTGTACGCAATATAGGCGTAGTTATGTTAGTATAAGATAATAAGATGTACTTTGTTGATTCAAAATCGGGAAATTGTGTTGTTATGAAATAAAAAAAGTGTTTTTTTAAATTTCTAATTTATTTATTTTTCGGCGCCCCCTATGCGCCCTTAGCATTCGCCTATATTGCCTATGCCGAGGGCCGCCCTGGGCACAAGGCATAAGAAGAATCTTAGTTGTAGAAACAGTAGACTCGTCGAAAAATGTCCACGAGAAACTTCATCTTGCATTGCAAAAGGACAATAAATGACTGCACAAGACTTCTCCAAACAGATGATGGTCATGCTGTGTTACAATCCACAATAGTGAGGTAAGGGCCCAGCCTATCGCTACTATCGAACACAAAGGAATGCAGTTTGTTTTTGCATGTAACTTGCTGTGAGATCTTTCACACTTACAAATTCTGTCTTCTCCCCTATTTCACCAAACCGTTTACTGGCAGGTTAGAAACAATGGAGAGGAGCATCGAGTGGTCACGGGGCAGGCTAATTAACGTCCATACAGATGTTTTACTTCAGGACCTTCGGGAATATATAGATGAAGTCCGGAGATCTTGGCCTACCACAACCGCGCAACAAGGTAGGTCGATGTGATGTTACTTTGGTGTTCGTGACAGGTCCTGTTTTAACTGCTATTACATGAACACAAAAACCATTAATCATCACCACATTTAATGTAACACCCTTTCAAACTGTAGATATTGTATCAGACTACTGGTGGTATACACAGTGCTTGAATTGGAATGAAAAAGGTGCCAGTACTCTAAAATCAGCAACTTTTTCAAGTCAATTTTATATATACAGCCCACAAACAAGAATTTGGCTACTATCATGCTGGTGGGTTTGTCTCTTTACTACTGTATATTTTAGAAAGGTTCACTGTACTTAACATTTTTTATGATAGGCAGCGGATATGGCTAAAGCTCAGTAAGGTCAATATTAACTGAAAATATAGCAATCAAAGTCTAGATCTTCTGCTGAAGACACATGAAGCAGAGACCTTTCAGGTGAGAGCCCCTCTGGTGGTGTTCAACATTAATGACAAGGAAACAAAGCTCTGGTCAGAAGCATTTTTTATAAAAAGCTTTAACAAAATTAAGTATTTGTGTACATTTTGAATGCAATCTAACTTTCCAACTCAGAAAACGAAAAAGTGCCAAAAGTCTTCTCACATGGCTGAGCTGCTTTGCAATATACTTCACCACTGAAGAATACAAATATGTATAAAGTAAACTATGATGCAATCTAACTTTCCAACTCAGAAAAATGATAAAGAGCATGAACAAAGAACATGTAAAAACAAATGCAACATTTGCACAATCTAAAATGATAAACTGTAACTGCAAGTAACAAAGTCTGAGCCATGGTAAAGAGTTACATTGAACACCAAGCTGATCAGATAACTCCCTGGTTGGTCTGAAGTCCTTCTATCTCCAGGATCTGTACAAATCGGCACATTATGCCAAAAGTCTTCTCACTGGGTGAGCTGCTTTGCAATATACTTCACATTGTTAGAAAAGGCTCCAGAAGGCCTTGGGGACATCAGTATCAGGGGCTGGAGCTGGACAGGCTCTTTCATCAGCACTTCTCCTTCCCTTTGCCAGCCAGGACCTCACATACTGTTCCGGATTGAACTGTCCTAGTGATGGTCCATTACATTTAATGAAAACCAGGCTGGACAGTCGGCTGACAGAGAGAGCATTCCTTTTTGCAGTAAGGATATCGTTCATGCAGCTGAATGCCCGCTCACACTCACTAGTGGAGACAGCGATGGTTCGGACTGCTTTCAGTAGAGGCTCCATGGCAGCAGGTGTACGGGATGCCATGGTTTCCTTGTATTCGCGAAAGCCCTGAACAGTCTCTCTTCTGTCCACTTTCAGCACTTCGCACAAACGTAGCACCTCTACGTCCCCATACTGTACGTCTAACTCCTCTTCAGGCCAACTTCCAGGATGTATAACTTTCATGTCCTGGATTAGCTGATTGTCCCGGGCCTCCCGGCCATGTAATGGGATTTCTCTTGTGCTGACATGAGAGAAGGTTGTGGAAGTCATTCTGTGTCTCAGATTCTCTACCATACTGCGGAAAAACTGACCTGCATGAATCTGTACAAGCCTGCCATTCTCACGCAGGGCAACACCCTTGAAGGACTTCTCAGCTAGAGCTGTATGAACTGTAGTCATGTGTTGGCCAGGCATGGTGACCATGGATTCAAAAACTCGTATTTCTCGAGTTAAGAGCCTATCTGCTGTAGGCAGTGTCATCTCTCTTTTTTGGAGTTGCCGAGAGAGGTCGCTGAGCTCTGTGAGCGCATCGTACATCAGTCCCAGATTGCTGACAAACGTTGCAGATGTGAGCACATCATCCAGGCCCTTGTACTTTGCTCTGTCTCTGGAATCCCTGCTCGTGTCGTTTGCAGCATTTGTGAAGTGATCATGAAGCACTCGGTAGTTTTCCCAGACTGCTCTGACGCTCCTTTCACTTGAAGCCACCCAGCGGATGGACAAAACACGCCCTATCACCAGGAGACGCTGTCCGACTGCTTGCGCACACTGCGCTAACTGCCTCTGATTTTTGGGGGAGGCACGGAACAAGGAATAGAGTTTGTCAAAAAAGATCTGGAAATGATTGAGCCCTGAGACCTCCTTGACCACATCCCCAACTGCCAGCTCTAGACGATGATTGGAGCAGTGCCACACAAACAGGCTTGGGAATTTACTACACAACTGGGTAGCAACGCCTGTTCTCTTCCCTAGCATGACTGAAGCCCCATCACATGCAAAAGAAACGAAACACTGACCTAAAAAGTCCTCGTTAAAATCTCTTCCAAGACACTCCATTAACGCCTTTGTGATGTCATCAGCCGTTGTTCCATCCAACTCGATCAGCTCCCAAAACAACGTTTCGGGCTCAGCATCAGCTAATGCTGAGCGTAGACACACAACAAGCACCGTTTTACCACTAATAGTGGTAGATTCATCGACCAAAACACAGAGTTTTCTTTGGTTTTCTGTAATGTCTTTTGCCATTTTTTTCTTCAGCTCATGAGCTATGTGGTCGATGATTTCGCCACAGGTTTTATTGGAGTGCAAAACCCTGCCCACGTTCAGCCCATTCAGTTTCTGTACATTCAAATCAATTGGCATGTCTGTGAATGGCCGGCTATGTTTGCCAATTTTATATGCCGTTCGAAAAACTCTGATAGTGGTGTCTAATTCAGATGTATGCATAGACTGCACTTGATGTTGAATAGTTTCACGTGAAGCAGATGTAAGGATGTCAGCAGCTTTTACATGGGCTTGTGATTCTTTATGTTCTTTGATTTTTTTTTCTCAGGCTAGCTTGTTGTTTGCCCTTGTCAACACCGAAATGAGACACTGCACACTCACCCCATTCAGTTGACAGTTTCAGTGCTTGTCCAGTGTGTATTCCCAAAGATTTGACATCTCTGCATATCCGACATCCTAGCTTCTTATCTTTAAGAAGGAGCCATGCATTGGTCTTGCAAAAATATTGCACCTGGTCCGTTGTCCAGCAGTCAGGTGCATCGCTTTGCCCGGTGTTGGTGGTGAGAGTTGCGCCAGCAGCAGCTAACGTTAGAGGCTCTGGAGGAGGCGGCGGAGCTAGTGCTAATGCTAATGCACTAGAACTTGGAGCAGGAGGATCAACCAAAGAAAGCTCCCCATCAGACACAATTTCCAACACAGGCACAGCATTCTCTGTATTTGAAGTTTCTTCCGGCGACAACCGCTGTCTTTTTGCACTTTTATTAATCCACGCTAACATTTTAGAAATGCTAATTTGTGACGTGACTTGCTTTCCTTCTCTCCGGGGCGTGCCTGCTCTGTTCTATCACTCTACATAGCCACCCACTGGGTGGGAGTTGCACTGCATAAACACAACACACGTGCATCTAGGTATGTAAATTGTAAAGCATTAAAAACATGGTTTTACTAACAGTTTTCAGTATGTTGTTACTTCGGCATTATTATTATTATTATTTTGAAACGTGTATTACTATTAAATCACGGTCAAATAGGTTAATTTTGACATAGTCGTTTCCACCACAGTATTTACATGGAGAAGATAAGCCCCGCCCCCTCTCCAGCACGTTCTGTTTGAATGACAGGAGTAAACAGCTGACAGCCGCTGTGAAACTCCAGCGGTTAGAGCGATGAGAATGTCCGTTCGGCACCTCATGACGCATCTACTGAGTACCGGGCGGCTGTATATATATATATGGATGTATAATAAGAACGGCGGGAGAGTGTTGAGTACTGGCACGGTGCATGAGTACCGGAGTACCGCCAGCATGCCGGTACTGAGCAAGAAGTGCCGGTACTCCATGGGTCAGAACCAGAAGTGCCGGTACTGCGTACCGGTGAGTACCGGCCCAATTCCAGCACTGGGTATACATGAAAAACTGCAGTAAATATACAAAGAATATACACCCAAGGGGATGGGCACATAAGAGCGGGAAATGTATCAAATTGTTGCGTGTGCCAGGTGTGATTCACATGGGGGGATGGGCACATAAGGGGTGGGGGTGTGTGTGTGTTTTATCTGATCCGGATGGTTACTAATTCCTTTTAATTATGGCTGTCATTTTTGAGTAAATCATCCAAAATTCAATGAAAGTGGTGATCAGCAATTGTATTCAAATGTCTACTGTGAAGGATATCATAACGCCTTAATGCAATCGAATGTAAAACTAAAAAGTTATGATTGATGAAAGTAGTAAATCGGTCAGATTTGACCCGAACACAACAGGAGGGTTAAAGTAATTATTTTGTATTAAAATATCGGTAATACCAATATATATAAAAGTTTTTAATCTGTAGTTGCCAGCTATTAATTAGCACATTCTGGTGAGACGCTGAGTCTGGAGTTGTCCACTGAAACCTTAAAACTTGACTCCAAATTCCACCTTTATCTCCTGCTGCACTAGATGCTATTCCCCCTCCCCTATCGTGGGAAGTCTGGCCAGCTGTCATTGTAGAACACATACCATGTATCAAACGTGGGAATGAGGACATTGAAAGTGCGCCAGAGGGGGGAGTCTCTGGCCCTTTCTCATTTCACTAATTCCCCTCCTCGACTCCTATCCTCATGTCTTAGTCCTTAGTTTCAGAATCAAACAGAGCACTGTCATAATAACGTCACACTATCAGAGACTGGATATATCCCCATCCACATTTTATGTTTTTGTTCATACTGTATACTACAACTATAGTGTGTTGCATGTCCACTGGTTTAATGCCAAACTGCATTTCCTTTTCATCGTAACTTTTGGCTGGGCAATGACACTAAAGTGTGGGTTTCCGGCAGAACGACAGAAATGCAACAATGACAATAAATGTAATCTAATCTTTTGCTGTTGTTGCAGGTCATTCTGGCTACCACGCCCCACTCATTCTGTTGGGTGGCCGAGGTCCCCCACAATACAGCATTTCGAGGGAGCAACTCTCTTTTTTGAGGAGCTGTGGTTTTACAGCTACAAAGATGGCGCAGATATTAAAAGTATCTCTGCGCACAGTGAGAAGGCGATTGAGGTATGTAGCAATTTCTTCAATATTGGAATGGACTTCTTGTCTCTTTATTGTAAACATCCCAAGGAGGGGTTGTAGCCATGTTACACTATGCATGCTGTAAAGTAAATCTGAATACCGTAGGTCTCATATATTTAAAACATGTTTATGTTTCAGGCAGTTCCACATGCTGCGCTCTGGGACATACTCCACCATCTCAGATGCTGCTCTAGACGACCTCATCAAAGAGATAGTGGCTGGGAATAACCAGATTGGCCCCGAATCTGTCAGGGCACAGCTGCAGGCCCAGCAGATGTGGATACAGAGACGCAGAGTGCGGGACAGCATGAAGCGGATAAACCCAGAAGCAGCTGCACTACGAGCAATGTCACAGAGACTGCATCGTAGAGCATACCGGGTCGCCGGACCGAACTCCTTGTGGCACCTAGATGGAAACCACAAATTAATAAGGTGAATATGACCAATACCAGACTTGAAAGATGGATAATTTCTATCAATAGGCCACAAAACCCAAACTCCTGCTTCAGTTTATGTATTGATCATCAAATGTTATTTATACTTTTCATGTTTTTGTTTTTGTTTTAGGTGGAGGATTGTCATTCATGGGGGTATAGATGGGTACAGCCGGCTGGTCGTTTTCCTCCGGGCCTCAGACAACAACAGGAGCGCTACTGTGATGGACAGCTTCTTGGATGCGGTGGCCAAGTATGGTGTGCCCTCGAGGGTCAGAACCGACCATGGGGGCGAAAACAACGCTGTCTGCCTAATGATGAACGTCTTCAGAGGCTTTCACAGAGGCAGTGCTCTCCGTGGAAGAAGCACCCACAACCAGAGAATAGAACGGCTCTGGGGTGACCTGTGGCGAGGTGTGAGCAATGTCTATTACGACCTCTTCAACTTCCTGGAGAGTGAAGGCATAATAGACATAGACAATGAAATGCACATGTGGGCCCTGCATTATGTCTATCTCCCGCGCATAAACCATGACCTACGGGGGTTTTTGGACCAGTGGAACAATCATGGTTTGAGGACCGAAAGACACCAGACTCCCATACAGCTTTTTGTCCAAGGATGCCTGGAACGGCAGGACCAGACCACTTCTGCCATGCAGAGCCTCTTTGGTGGAGGACAAGGAGATGCTCAGGAGGAGCCAGAAAGAGAGGGTAGAGCTGATGCAGGAGATGTTGCTCAGGAGGAGCCAGAAAGAGAGGGAAGAGCTGATGCAGGGGATGTTGCATTGGACTGGCCAGAGAGAGTCACCGTACCTCCAAACCAGCACCTGCTAAGCGATGAGGACATGGAGCAGCTCACCGCACAGTTTGATCCTCTTGCTGGTTGTAGAGGAGATCTTGGACTGGACACCATTCGTAATTTGATCTCCTACATTGAAGCGTTGCCATAGGTTGACTGTCTCGCCGTCCTCCGCACACACACACACGCTATCATGGCTGGACGCTGGTGCCGCCCTACACGCACACACACACACGCTATCATGGCTGGACGCTGGCTAGTGCCACCCTACACACACAAACACACACACACACACACGCTATCATGGCTGGACGCTGGCTAGTGCCGCCCTACACACACACACACACGCACACACACACACACACATACACACACATGCTATTATGGCTGGACGCTGGCTAGTGCCCTACACACAGACGCACACACACCCACCTTGTTTTTCCCGCTCATGGCCTGCACCTTGTCGTGGTGAGTGGGCTTTCAACCAAGCCAGGCCACACCGTTGAAAAGTACTGATCTAATAACAGATTTGTTCTTGAATCAACTTTTTCATGTAATTTTATTTCATTTTAAATAAAATGAAACATTCACAGTTAATGTAATTAGATTATACATTATTAATGCCATATATTTTTGCATACATTCACAGTACATATTTATTCAGTATGATAGCTGTCTAACAGAAGTTAAATCCATTTCTCACTTATTCTGACAATCTACTTAACCCAAAATAAAAGAACCCAATAAAAATAGTTGTTAAATAATAGAGAAGTCACGTTATAATATGAAGTCACGTTGTAATAACAATAACTAATCTAACTAACTAACTAATCTCTCTCGTTCAGATTAATATTGTCGGGTGTTCTTTTTCTGCTTTGCCAAAGACCACTGTGTCAAGTGTCCCATTTGGGTTGCCGTATGTAGCAGACCATCTCGCACATGCGCAGTACAGATCGGGCAGATCGGTAGTGACCATGGTAGTGACAGAGGTAATCGTCGTAACCAGCAGTCTTCATCCGCCTCTATCCAGTCTTTGACACTTGGAAAACGAGCACATGTGATACTGGTAAGGATAAACTAATGTTAATATATATATTAATATAATTTCACATACCGAAACGTTAACGCTTGTCTGAGTATATCTTCCGTTGACTCTGGCTGTGGGTCTTACCGGCTGTTGATAGCCCGTATAAGCTAACGCTAGCATGCTTTATTCAGACATTAGCCTTTAGCCCGCTTGGATTTATGGGTGGCTAACGTTACTACAGTCCGGTAGCTCATTTAAGAAAATGTAACGTTATTTATGGGAAACGTTAGCCTACGTGTGTCTGGCCGTGACTGACTGAGTAGGCCGTAAAAGCTTCCGCTAATGTTTAGCATGCGCTAACGTTTATCTTGTGCTAATGTTTAGCATGCGCTAACGTTTATCTTGTGCTAATGTTTAGCATGCGCTAACGTTTAGCATGATTTATTCAGACCACGCATTATCCAGTGAAGAACACTCAGCAGAGCATATATTTCTCAACACAACATTAACTGTAACGTTACATGTTCTTAACCGAACTAGTGGACTGTAAAAACACTACCCACCCATGACTCCAATTCGACTACAGGCTAAAGTCAATGTCTGAATAAAGCATGCTAGCGTTAGCGGTCTACCAGCATGAGTCATGGCCAGATTCAAAGGTAAATATACTCAGACAAACATTAAGTATATTAACTTTACCTTTTCTTAACTGAGGCTTGGTGGCCTCTAAACAGTATGAACAGGCGGGCTGCGTGTTTTCTATTGTAAATAAATAGATAAGACTATGAATTTGTATTTATTACCAGAGTAGAAATTCTGGTGTTAAACGTCAATTTAAGGACAGAGTAAGTGTGTTAATTTCATATTGACGAGCGACTTATATTTTAATTTTCAAGTTCAATTGATAAAGATATTGTAAATGTAACTTTAGTTTACAACATCGTGTTATATATTTTTACATCACCAAAATGTTGACCACTGTCCTAAAATAAAGTATAGGCTTTGAGTAACGAATTTTAGTGGGCTGTCTTTCATTTTGACACACAGAACAATGTTATAATAAACATACATACATGCATGTATGTTAAATGGATATATCCGCCTTCTTTCATTTATCTTTCCATTCCCACAACAATATACATAAATAAATGACATATTTTGGACATAGTTCGAATGGTGATTAATCATGATTAATTAATTTTTAAGCTGTGATGTAATCGTTTGACAGCCCTAATATATATATATATATATGAACTTTGTATGTAATGCAATTTGAAAAGAAAGAATGTATTGAGTGTACACCTGCATTTAATTAATTCCCTCTTCACATCTCTATTTCTCTCTTTCTCTTAGAGCGCCATGGCTGATATTGAACCACCTGTTCGATTGCTGATCATCTTGAACGACCACAACAGCGTCAGACTGGAGCTTCGAAATGGGATTCCCAACTCAATGGAAGAGCTCATTGAGGAGGTCAAGAATTCATGTGGATTAGAAGGTTACATAAGGCTACAGTACAAAGACACATTTTTGGAACACATTTGTTAATCTTACATCTACACATGCGATTAAAGATTTAACAGTGATCAAAGTTGTCGAATTAGACCCCGATTCTACAACTGTGGTTTTGTACCCAGTTGAGATACCATTAAATAGTACCCCTACAAGTGGACTGTACAGTGAAGACTCCTCTGGATCTGTGAATACAGATGACCCAGTACTACTTAGCGGCTCTTCCTCAGAATCATTAAGAACACAGCAGTGGCCAAAAGTGTTTCCAATCCCGGTCTTCTCCTATGACACAGAATGTCAATTACAGAGAGGAAATGCAGAGTACACAAAGAACCAATCTAGACTGACACCAAGCTCAAATCATCTGCAGAGCTTGCTGTGAACTCGTTGAAGACCAAGTCTCAAGAAGAGTCCTACCCTGCGAAGAATTTTAAAGAGAGCCAGGCGAGCTGATGCCAACCATTTTCCATCCTTGCCGATTGGTGAGACTCCAGAAAGCATGGAGCAAGAGACAATTTCCCTTTTGGCAGAACAACAGAAAAGAAACAACCGGCAATCAATAAAAGAAAAGATGGCGAAGGCGTTTGGATACCGAAGACAAGAAATAGTGCATCGGAGGCCAAGCATTGAAGGCCTCTTGGAGCGGTGGCCTGCACTTTTTCACATGGAAGAGGTAATTATTTTGATGAAACCCTTGATTGTAAGCCTGTAGTGGAGAAGAATTGAGGGCCCAACTTACGAACAACTATAGACAGCCGAGGCAAATATGTTGACGTTTATTTTTTAATATATATCACAATATAAGCTTTACATCTATTACTCTTAGTGTCTTTATTTGGTGGTGGTTTTCAATAAATATGTGGATTAATTAATTTAAATGTTACATTCATACAAGCTGACTTGGAGTACTTTTAATCAAACCATTGGCTCTTTATAAAAAACATGTGTATTATAAATTCTCAGTATTTTTTGTTTTCTATGCTGCTTATATTTTCTAGGTAAATGCTGAGTTAATGCGCATAACAACAATTCCATTGGAGACAAAGTTCTTGGCGCAGTTGGACAAACACTCAGGTCATCAGGAGCAGGGGAGGAGTTGTGAAACAGAAGACCACCGGGATCTTGCAGGTTTTGGATGAGGTATCTATGAATGAGTTTTTTATCTGTGGGATCAGTGGCTGAATCCTCCTTTATTTGCATTTAATGTATTATATATATATATATCTCTGTTCTTACTCAGACTGTGGACATCGCCATCAGAAGAGAATGCATCCTCAAATCTCTAATGATCTACCTGGGTGAACCTGTTGACCATCTCATCAAAGAATTCCAGGTAAGACCTCCCACTCACTCACAAGAAGTTTGTTCATAAAAGAAAACATATTTGTACTGCATGCAAATAACTGCTTGGTTAGAAATAGGGATGGGTATCGTTTGAAATTTATCGATTCCGATTTCGATTCCGGTTCTGCTTATCGATTCCGGTTCTTATCGATTCCCCGTTTCGATTCCAAAATTGTAAAATAAAGAGGTCAAACGTTTAGATAACAAAAATATATTTATTCTTAAAAGCTTTAACTGAAATTGTTACTAAAAAATATACATGCAATACAAATGTATTGCACAATAGCTGTGCTTTATTTTCACTGAGCTATGCCTGTGGCAAGCTATTAACAGGCATTACACTGTGCCTTGTCTTTTTCTTTTTTAGTGTAGTGGAGCCTCACTTCAGAGTGTTTACCGCGAACTATCTTTGGTGTTATGAAGTGACTGAGCTCGTGAAATGTCTACGGGAGGGCGGGGGAGCATCGCTGCGGGGCAACTGTGGACCTCTGTCGCCTGTCAGCGCAATTTATATGATGCCGTTTAAAAAAATGAAGGGCGGTGCCGGCCGTCAGCGTACCGAGCCGGCCGTCAACGGCCCGCTGACGACCGGCCGTTCTGTGATTCTCCAGGTCCGCCCTGTATTCCACCGGGTCACCGCAGCACCGCGGTGCAGACGGACCCGCTGGAATACAGGGTCTACCGCGTTTAGGAACCGTTAAGCAGAACCGAAATTGTGTATTTTGTATGGGTACCCGGTACCCGGCATTTTCTTATCGGTTCTCATCTGGAACCGAGTTTCGGTTCCCAACCCTAGTTAGAAAGATAGTCATTTGACCTCCTGAGCTTTCCTCTTGGGCCGACTGAACTGACGCCTCAGGCCTGTTGAACTACACTCTGTGGTCCTCATCCATTCCCCTTTTTTTTGCATGATCTGCAGGACGCTGAGGCTGGAGAACTGGAGCAGGCAACAATGGAAGCCTTTGACACTGGGAAAGAGGATCAGCTTCATCGACCCAAAGACGTCAAGGTTCTCATCGAAGGAACAGAGGTCCTCAGCGGCTTGCCCTCGGTTGCGACAGCTTTTGCCATGCTCTTCGGGCTCATATACGCACTGAAATGGGGCGAAGCCTGCGAGCTAGTTCAGGCAGTCAACTCGAGCACTTATGCTGCATTCATACATAACGCCCCCTTGCCACTCTACAACCAACCAAACAGAGTCTCCTTAATATGCCGCTCTATTTAACCTGCCAGATCTCTCTCCATGCATTGCTTGCTGCTGCTATTGCTGCAGATACCTCTACGTCGCTGCTGCTCGCTGCCCCACCACCACCCCAGCTTCCACCTGTAGGCTCGGGGGTTAGTTATTTGATCATCACTCATCGTGCTATGTATATCTATGGAGTGATGATGCCCGAGCCTAGTCGCCAAACTCAACTATATGCTGCTTCTAATAAACATGTTAAAGGAACACGTGAGTTGTCTGACTGAACTTAAGATATCAGAAATAACTGCAATCCACTTTTGAAGTTGTGCAAAAAGTCCTGATGGAGGGGAAAAAGATGAGCCCAAAAGTGAATAGACTGAGAACCCAGCTGGTAGACACTTTGTTGCACTCACTCACAGTTACCATTGTTACATGGTAAGGTTTCTAAAACCAAGGTTTTATAATAATTATGCATTGTAAAACATTTGCGAAAAAGTGTTGTGTTCAGAAGTTGCACTTACAGTATGACCGATTTTCACTGTAGAAGTTATGCATGTCTAATCATTTTCAGAGATTACATGTCTCACAGGCGCACGTTGTCAGTGTTGCTTTAAAAAAGTGTGCAGTGGATAATAAGGACATGTCTTTTTTCTAAGAGTTTGATGTTTGGAAGCGGCCCACATATTACCGCATTTTAACTGTGGTACTTATTAACATGTCTAAGATCAGGTAATGGCTGCCTCAGAGGCCAAAGCTGGTTGTGTGAACAACTTGTTTTTCATTCAAATGAATGTGCTCTGGTGTTAAAATATACAGATTGATCTGAAGAAATTGAGTCATTGTAAAATATTTCGTGTGATTGATTACTCTAATATTTTTTTGTTGGTACAACGTTTTACTTTTATTAGTGTACCTTTCAGTTCCATTGCACTCCTTAAACGTGTTTGAGACACTTTAGATAACAATGTGGCTGTCATTTGATTAACTCTGAAAATACAGAGGTTTTTATTGAATAAATCACCCAAAAATCACATGAATTGAGTTACAGGTGTCCCCTCAGCAGACTTATTTAATAATACGGTAGGAAATTGTGGAGTAAAGTTAATATCTATCTTGTACACACACACACTTTTCCTCTACTGATTATATTACTGGATGGAAACTGAAAGCACGGGAACATTAATAAACTACACAACAGAAAGTATGAATAACATTAATGAAATTGTGACTGTAGATATGTTTATACTTTATATTATTTACTGTAAATGTTTAATTTAGATTTAATTATTGTGATTATTTTCTATCTAAATCTCACAATGGGGTAGGTTACAGGAACTTTTCATCAACAGATTGCTTTAGTCTGGCTTAACTCTTCACTGATTGGTTGCACACACTTTAAATGTACTGGCTATGCAAAACAGAAGGTGGGGCTCATTATCATATTAAAAAAACGCGCGAAAAACGGGCGAATAGTGGCACTTGAGGCTTTCCATAAATAAACGCGCGTTTTTGACGCATATAAAACCCGCGTTTTTTTACCAAATAAACGGGCGAATAGTGGCACTTTAGGCTTTCCATATTTTAACGGGGAGGTCCGTTTAAATTCAAAGTCTCAGTAACCAATCAGTGAAGAGCAAAACCAGACCAAAGCAATCTGTAGATGAAAAGTTCCTGACATTGTGAGGCTCTAAATTGTACGTTATTCCAGATTCAGGGGACTATGTATTAATTTGGCTTTCAATATAATAAATATATCAATCAATATAACCTGCCTTCATTGTCTTTTAAAATAAAATCGCCTTATCTTATTGAAGGGTATTTGTCTCCTTAAATCACCTTTTAAATGTACTTCTTATAACATGGCATGGTGTAACATATCAAAATTGTTCAGTCTCTGCTCTTGCTAGAAATGCAATGTCCCTCACCTTAGACTTAGAGCACTGTCTTGTGAGATACTTAGCTTAGAAATCAGATTTTTGGAAAACTTAAAAACTCTTGTGAAAACACAGATGTACTCATGTCATCCATTTTTTTTGGTGTTTCAGATGTGGTTTACCAACGTGTTTGGTTCACAAACGTAGTGAAATATATGAATTACACTATAGGCCAATATAAATGTGATGTTCATGTCTAAAACGAAAATGTGTAAATTAGAATTTGGAGTAAAATAGTTCTATCACTCTACTTTCACCACAGAAAAGTTACATCAGGACTGATTCATGACTTCATATCCCATACTGAGGTTCATGTGATGTGTACAAATACAAATTGAGCATTACAACCTTTTTTTTCAACCAACTATTTATGTTAACATAAGAAACTGTAAAATCTCAATATTTACAATACAAGGTTCATACACTTTTTCACCAATGATTTTAAATGACTCTTTCATGTGGCTAGCATGCGCTGCCTCGCCCATATTCGAAATATTGAATATGTTACAACACAGTTTGCATTTAGCACGTCTTGGGTCAATGTCTTTTGATAACCACAATTGGTACTTATTCTTTAGAAGCCATACATTGTTGAAACTGCACTTCCCTGGCATCTTTATATCAAATAGTAGCTCCTGTAGACTAGAGGGCGTGATTGTAAACATCTCTCACCAGCGAAATACTGCCACAGTTGTCATTTTACATTTCATTATACGATACAGTATTTATTATCATTATAGTATTACTATTTCGGTGATTAGATAACATATAAATTATATTTGATGCGACTTTAGTTATATTTCCATGACTTTTCCAAAAATTTTGGGAAAAATATTGCATTCCATGACTTTTCCAGGTTTTTAATGACTGTACGAACCCTGACAATATCAGAACTTTCTCAACCAACTATGCATTATAAATGTAAAGACAGGGGGAGCAGTGCCATGGTCTTTGTCTGTCTTCCAAGACAGTGGGTCTGGCTGCTGTGTAGGTGGGGGTGATGGTGCATGGGCTGCTGGTGGCTGTGTCGGAGGGAGGGAGGTGTGCTAGGCGACACTTTTTTGCTGGCTGGGTTGATCGTGATGGCTGTGGTGGAGGCCTTTGTACCGAGGTGTATCTTAATCTTGTGGCAGGCACAGATGGAGGTGGAGGCTGCTGTAGTGATGCTGGTCCTCTGGTCCTTGATGTTGATGGCTCTGGTGAAGGCCCTTGAGCCACGGTAGATCTTGACCTGGGTGCAGGCACAGATGGAGGTTCTTGCAGCTGTGAAATCGGAAAGAAATATAGGACAATATTTACTACTAAGTTCATTAAAATATAAAGTTCAAGTGGAATGTTTCTCAAGCACAAATAACAATGCACAACTCAAAATAAAATGGGGAGGTGGGACAGGAGTCTCTCTCTCTTACAATCTATTTAACTAAACCCACACAATGAAAGTACACTATTACTGTAATATTTACATTTACCTATCTCCAAATGGATCCTTGTCGTTGCTGCTGTATTCTCCAGGTTCTGATGCTCCATCTCCACTGCTGCTAGTGTTACAAGTCCGCTGTGCAGAGCTGGTAATCAGATAATAAGCCTGTTGAACAGGAGAAAAGAATGAAGCAGAGAGAAAGTTGCTGCCGTTTTGTGTGGTTGTCCTAGCCAGAATTTATTAAACACATTAATAAATTCACTTACAAATTATATCAGTTTTCTCTATTTATGTATCTCTGCATTGTGTTGTGTGGTCGAATGAATATGGCTTCCTTCTTGCCAACCAGCTTTATTATCTGTGCAAACAGAATATAAGGAAATGGCTTCACCAGCTTTCTACCTCAATACTTCTCCTCAGTGAGGCCTGAAGCTAACTGAGAATGTAAAAATACATTTAGCCAATCAAAATAACTGTATGTCTGACACATTTCGTTTTCTAATCAAAAATGGACATAAATACAGATGCCATATTATGACTTTCATGAAGGATTAAAGCCTTTTTCATTTACAGTATATAATACAGTGATAACAGATAACACACACAACCCGACTGTACTCACTTTAACATGGCTGTTGTACAGGCACAATATTAGCATAGCATTAGCGCTTTAGCATTTAAATAATATGAACAATTAGGACCTCAGACCAGCATTTCACATATTTATACAAACAGAATAAACTTGAAATGTAAGCCAGACTAGTGCACGGGACTCATACACATAGTAGAGCAACATTATTCAGGGAGCAACAGCCTGTGTTAAAGAAGCTAGCGGACGCCATTAGACACACGCTAGTGGCGTAGCTTACAGAATGACATTAAACCAGTGCTTGAATTGGAATGAAAAAGGTGCCAGTACTCTAAAATCAGCAACTTTTTCAAGTCAATTTTATATATACAGCCCACAAACAAGAATTTGGCTACTATCATGCTGGTGGGTTTGTCTCTTTACTACTGTATATTTTAGAAAGGTTCACTGTACTTAACATTTTTTATGATAGGCAGCGGATATGGCTAAAGCTCAGTAAGGTCAATATTAACTGAAAATATAGCAATCAAAGTCTAGATCTTCTGCTGAAGACACATGAAGCAGAGACCTTTCAGGTGAGAGCCCCTCTGGTGGTGTTCAACATTAATGACAAGGAAACAAAGCTCTGGTCAGAAGCATTTTTTATAAAAAGCTTTAACAAAATTAAGTATTTGTGTACATTTTGAATGCAATCTAACTTTCCAACTCAGAAAACGAAAAAGTGCCAAAAGTCTTCTCACATGGCTGAGCTGCTTTGCAATATACTTCACCACTGAAGAATACAAATATGTATAAAGTAAACTATGATGCAATCTAACTTTCCAACTCAGAAAAATGATAAAGAGCATGAACAAAGAACATGTAAAAACAAATGCAACATTTGCACAATCTAAAATGATAAACTGTAACTGCAAGTAACAAAGTCTGAGCCATGGTAAAGAGTTACATTGAACACCAAGCTGATCAGATAACTCCCTGGTTGGTCTGAAGTCCTTCTATCTCCAGGATCTGTACAAATCGGCACATTATGCCAAAAGTCTTCTCACTGGGTAAGCTGCTTTGCAATATACTTCACATTGTTAGAAAAGGCTCCAGAAGGCCTTGGGGACATCAGTATCAGGGGCTGGAGCTGGACAGGCTCTTTCATCAGCACTTCTCCTTCCCTTTGCCAGCCAGGACCTCACATACTGTTCCGGATTGAACTGTCCTAGTGATGGTCCATTACATTTAATGAAAACCAGGCTGGACAGTCGGCTGACAGAGAGAGCATTCCTTTTTGCAGTAAGGATATCGTTCATGCAGCTGAATGCCCGCTCACACTCACTAGTGGAGACAGCGATGGTTCGGACTGCTTTCAGTAGAGGCTCCATGGCAGCAGGTGTACGGGATGCCATGGTTTCCTTGTATTCGCGAAAGCCCTGAACAGTCTCTCTTCTGTCCACTTTCAGCACTTCGCACAAACGTAGCACCTCTACGTCCCCATACTGTACGTCTAACTCCTCTTCAGGCCAACTTCCAGGATGGATAACTTTCATGTCCTGGATTAGCTGATTGTCCCGGGCCTCCCGGCCATGTAATGGGATTTCTCTTGTGCTGACATGAGAGAAGGTTGTGGAAGTCATTCTGTGTCTCAGATTCTCTACCATACTGCGGAAAAACTGACCTGCATGAATCTGTACAAGCCTGCCATTCTCACGCAGGGCAACACCCTTGAAGGACTTCTCAGCTAGAGCTGTATGAACTGTAGTCATGTGTTGGCCAGGCATGGTGACCATGGATTCAAAAACTCGTATTTCTCGAGTTAAGAGCCTATCTGCTGTAGGCAGTGTCATCTCTCTTTTTTGGAGTTGCCGAGAGAGGTCGCTGAGCTCTGTGAGCGCATCGTACATCAGTCCCAGATTGCTGACAAACGTTGCAGATGTGAGCACATCATCCAGGCCCTTGTACTTTGCTCTGTCTCTGGAATCCCTGCTCGTGTCGTTTGCAGCATTTGTGAAGTGATCATGAAGCACTCGGTAGTTTTCCCAGACTGCTCTGACGCTCCTTTCACTTGAAGCCACCCAGCGGATGGACAAAACACGCCCTATCACCAGGAGACGCTGTCCGACTGCTTGCGCACACTGCGCTAACTGCCTCTGATTTTTGGGGGAGGCACGGAACAAGGAATAGAGTTTGTCAAAAAAGATCTGGAAATGATTGAGCCCTGAGACCCTCCTTGACCACATCCCCAACTGCCAGCTCTAGACGATGATTGGAGCAGTGCCACACAAACAGGCTTGGGAATTTACTACACAACTGGGTAGCAACGCCTGTTCTCTTCCCTAGCATGACTGAAGCCCCATCACATGCAAAAGAAACGAAACACTGACCTAAAAAGTCCTCGTTAAAATCTCTTCCAAGACACTCCATTAACGCCTTTGTGATGTCATCAGCCGTTGTTCCATCCAACTCGATCAGCTCCCAAAACAACGTTTCGGGCTCAGCATCAGCTAATGCTGAGCGTAGACACACAACAAGCACCGTTTTACCACTAATAGTGGTAGATTCATCGACCAAAACACAGAGTTTTCTTTGGTTTTCTGTAATGTCTTTTGCCATTTTTTTCTTCAGCTCATGAGCTATGTGGTCGATGATTTCGCCACAGGTTTTATTGGAGTGCAAAACCCTGCCCACGTTCAGCCCATTCAGTTTCTGTACATTCAAATCAATTGGCATGTCTGTGAATGGCCGGCTATGTTTGCCAATTTTATATGCCGTTCGAAAAACTCTGATAGTGGTGTCTAATTCAGATGTATGCATAGACTGCACTTGATGTTGAATAGTTTCACGTGAAGCAGATGTAAGGATGTCAGCAGCTTTTACATGGGCTTGTGATTCTTTATGTTCTTTGATTTTTTTTTCTCAGGCTAGCTTGTTGTTTGCCCTTGTCAACACCGAAATGAGACACTGCACACTCACCCCATTCAGTTGACAGTTTCAGTGCTTGTCCAGTGTGTATTCCCAAAGATTTGACATCTCTGCATATCCGACATCCTAGCTTCTTATCTTTAAGAAGGAGCCATGCATTGGTCTTGCAAAAATATTGCACCTGGTCCGTTGTCCAGCAGTCAGGTGCATCGCTTTGCCCGGTGTTGGTGGTGAGAGTTGCGCCAGCAGCAGCTAACGTTAGAGGCTCTGGAGGAGGCGGCGGAGCTAGTGCTAATGCTAATGCACTAGAACTTGGAGCAGGAGGATCAACCAAAGAAAGCTCCCCATCAGACACAATTTCCAACACAGGCACAGCATTCTCTGTATTTGAAGTTTCTTCCGGCGACAACCGCTGTCTTTTTGCACTTTTATTAATCCACGCTAACATTTTAGAAATGCTAATTTGTGACGTGACTTGCTTTCCTTCTCTCCGGGGCGTGCCTGCTCTGTTCTATCACTCTACATAGCCACCCACTGGGTGGGAGTTGCACTGCATAAACACAACACACGTGCATCTAGGTATGTAAATTGTAAAGCATTAAAACATGGTTTTACTAACAGTTTTCAGTATGTTGTTACTTCGGCATTATTATTATTATTATTTTGAAACGTGTATTACTATTAAATCACGGTCAAATAGGTTAATTTTGACATAGTCGTTTCCACCACAGTATTTACATGGAGAAGATAAGCCCCGCCCCCTCTCCAGCACGTTCTGTTTGAATGACAGGAGTAAACAGCTGACAGCCGCTGTGAAACTCCAGCGGTTAGAGCGATGAGAATGTCCGTTCGGCACCTCATGACGCATCTACTGAGTACCGGGCGGCTGTATATATATATATGGATGTATAATAAGAACGGCGGGAGAGTGTTGAGTACTGGCACGGTGCATGAGTACCGGAGTACCGCCAGCATGCCGGTACTGAGCAAGAAGTGCCGGTACTCCATGGGTCAGAACCAGAAGTGCCGGTACTGCGTACCGGTGAGTACCGGCCCAATTCCAGCACTGCATTAAACTACACATAAAACAGTTTCAAAGACACTTCTTAGATCGAATATGACATAATCTGTGTACACACTACTAACCTGTTGAACAGGAGAAATTAATGAAGCAGAGGGAAAGTTGCTGCCATGTGTCTGTCGTCTGTCTGTCATGCCGTTTCTCTAACGCTAAACCGGAAGTGAGGCTAAGAACGGCGAACTTAAAGATAACAATACCATTAGCACTCCTAGTGGTGACTTTTTGAACCGCAAACAAATTATAACATTATAAAATGCCTTTAAGGCAGCACACTGTTTGAAGCGCTGCACATTATATAAACTAACGTTACACACGGCAACGACATTAACTGCAAACAGTCGTGACTTGTGTGAAGTGTAACATTAAACAATATATTAACATATTAAATACAACATTTATGACACCACTCATTCACTTCCACTCAGTAACCCTCTTTGTTCTAAGACATGTGATAGTCTATACACTATCATCTTCTCCATCCATTTACACAAGTGTGATGTTACTGGGTAATGATCACTTCCTATGGTACAGTCACTTTTTACATACCATTCACACGATTTAACTAAACTATCCGTCACAAGTATGAGGTCCAAACATGATTGTGTCCCCCTATTCACGTCTATTCTTGTGTTTTGTCCATCATTAAGGCAAAAACAATGCCCTGTGAAAAAGTATCTCTTTAGCCCTTTCCAAAGTCCTTTAAAAACTCATGCAGCAGTTGCATCTCAAAAGGCCTTAAGGGAAGGTTTTGTTACATTTTAACAACATATATATATATATGTGTCCCCTCTTCCTTCACAAGCACTATATCAATATATAATACTATTCTGAAGCATGCAATGAAATAGAAGCAGAAAATGCTGCAGTGTTTGTGATGAACCTTTGTATACATTTCTGAATAAGTCTCAGAACCATTTTGTGGTACAATTAATTTGATATGGTTGGATATAGTTTTCAGCTGGAGCAACACTAATACTGAGGCTGATACCCTCCCATTTCTTTGCCGTGAAACGCAGAAGACAGGCTACCACCTTAATTTGAGGGTGAAGTGTCTTGCCCAGGGACACAACTACATGTTGATTGCAGTGGGATTCAAACTTGCTATCACCTGATTCGAAGTCCAGTACACTATCCACTGAGCCACAGCCCCGCATTAAATACAAAGATTAAAAGTCATTCAAAACAGATAATAAAAAAAGCTGGAGAGAAAAAAATTCCACTCCGAGACTCGAACCCGGCCATCTCGAATGTCTGACCCACACTAAGAACATTACTCGACAAGCAGATTGTAGTCATTTTACACCCACGCAGTGCATGATCGAAGTGCGCATATTTTACGTACTTAATCATGGGCAGTAACTACAGACCCATAGCATTAACATCACACTTGTGTAAATGGATGGAGAAGATGATAGTGTACTGAGTACTTCTACTTTTACTCAAGAACAAGCTCTGATTACTTCTACTTTTACTCAAGAACAAGATCTGATTACTTCTACTTTTACTCCAGTACAAGATCTGAGTACTTCTACTTTTACTCAAGTACAAGATCTGAGTACTTCTACTTTTACTCAAGTACAAGATCTGAGTACTTCTACTTTTACTCAAGTACAAGATCTGATTACTTCGACAACCTCTGATTAATGGTTGATTTCCAAATGTTCTGTTGGTGCGTGGATGATAAAATAATAGTGTTTGATTGTATTGCCTTACGTATGCAGCTATTTGCCTGTGTTTAGAAACATAATTAAACATACCATGGACACACATTCAAACAATTTTCCATTTATTAAACATTGCAGATGAACAATTAACAAGTCATACAGCTACAGAAAACTACAACAATAATGTTCTGTATGATGATATCATGGAACCTGGAATTTGAACACACACCACTTAACAATAAACAATAAACTTAACAATAAACGACTGAACTGCTGTCCACTTTAGGGTAGGGCCCTTAAAGCATCCAGTGCTGCAGACAGTCCAGCAACCTATACACTGGCTCCTGATCCCTGCACTTAAGGCATTGGAGAGATGTTATCCTCCACTCCTCCACACATAGCCTGCATCCCACGATGCTTTGGCAGCAGGAGGAAAACATGGGTCCAGTCATTGTGTCTTTGTCTTTGTGTCGCTTTTGTACCCAAAATGGTATAGGCAGAGAGCGAGTGCACGATTCCCAACTGGAAGTAGAGGTTGCTAAAGCAGCTGTTGAGGTGAGGTAGGCCTATGGCTTAATTCAGTGATGTAAAGTAATTACGTAGATTTACTCAAGTACTGTACTTATTACATAATAGAGTGGTGTAGTGAAGCGTCCTAAAACCCGGAAGTAAGTTCCTTCTGGTTCCCTCGACCAAAAAGCTATGCAATTTCGCCATAGGATTTTGGAAAATAGCTCCAAATAATGTCTGTGGTTGACACACATTTAAGAGACGGATCACGTTTTGTTCAGTCGGATAATCTCCACATGTCTACCCTACTTTTATAATTGTATAATCATAAATCGAATCGAAAGATTTATGATTTTAGGACGTGTCACTGCACGACTCTATAGCCTACTGTTGGGTTTCGGAATGCTGGGAGGAGTAAATGGCCAGAAAGAATCCAAGAAACTTCTTGTAAAATCGACAGGGTTTTAATTATAGTAAACATGAGGTTCCTCTGAGGCTGCGACGGGAGAGGGGCCGTGTAAACGTTTCAGCTCCGATTATAAACTCTGGTACTTCCAGTCTTCTCCCATTGGTTGGCGGCGTCATATTTCAACCCAGTCTCACGGCATTTCGTGTTCACCAACACGATTTTTAATCTATTGATTCGTGTTCCCCAACACGATTTGCCCCTTTTTTTCGTGTTGCACAGCACGATTTTAAAAGCAATGTATTTCTATTGCCTGCAGCACGTCTTTTTCTCCGGTCGGGTCGAGGAAGACCTGAAGCTGTGTGGTTCATAAAAACATGTTCTTACTCAATATCAAGCCACAATTATTGCTTTTATTTTAAATCGTATAATTTCTGACTTTTGTTGCCGTCTGTGAGGGAAATAAATGGGGCTCAGAGCCTCAGAATACTGAAATATGTATTTTTTAAATATTTTTTTTCCTTCTAATTTGTTATTCTTTTCAAAATAACACACTGTTATTTACTCACCAATAACACACAATTATCCTTGCTTTTATTGGTTTAATTCCATAATCTCGGGCTTTTTTGGCGTCCGTCAGGGACTGAATTTCAAAATAAAATATCCGGAAACAGACGTAGGACTATAAGGGACATTTCGAGCGTCATTGCGATTGTCAACAGGCTTATTTGAGACAAGCGAAACCTGCGCAGACCTGCGCAATTTCGATCAACGTCTTGCTAGTGCGTTGCATGATGGTTAGTCATTTTGTCCGACTTGCTCTGGAGGCTCGCCTACATGAGACGTTGAAATCTCGCGGGACAAAGACGCCCGCAGCCTTGAGAGCGAGGCGCGGCGAGGCGGCGCAGTTCCTCTCCACGGGCTGCGGAAGCGAAATGCTTGATGGGAAACGACTCGCTGGTATCTCGAGCTGAGCGCTCATTGGTGGTTTTTACCACGTGCTGGTGATGAAACTCTCCAATTGGCTCGGCAAAAGTTTGTTGTTGTTTTGTGTCAGTTTTACGTCGCCACTTCCATTCACATTTTTCATCATTGTTCCACAATATTTATCATCATGAAATTAATATCCATATATTTTATACTATACTTGCACTGCTTACCGTTTTCATACTTTATATATCTTAGCATATTCATACACACTGTTCATACTGCTCTCAGGCTGTTGTGTATAGTGTATTCATACCCCTCGCTGTTTATTCATCATTCAATTCATTCTATATTTTATTCTGTAGATTGTGTACATGACTTTTCACTTTACTGCTTCTTGCACTCCTGGTTAGAAGCTAAACTGCATTTCGTTGTCTCAGTACCTGTAATATGTGCAATAACAATAAAGTTGAATCTAATCTTGAGCAGGAACAAATGTAGGCTATTTACTTAGTACATATCTGACATTAACGATTAAACACATGTGTACATTCTTTATAAATGCAAACCGAGTCAAACCGACTCCGGAGGTGCCGGTATGCACCTTAAAGTTTCGCCAAAAAACCGAGAGAAGAAGAAGAAGAAGAAGACGAAGCCGACTCTGGGCTGTCCGACTTCAGGCGAGCTTTTTGACACCTCCCCCGGCTGCGATCGGCTATTCTCGTCTACTTTCGAGGCGAGCCGCAACGCGTCTCAAACAAGCCTAACCTTTCTGAGTTTAGGATGGCCGAAGACACTACACTACCCATAATCCCCAGCTATCGTTTAGGACTACAGTCCCCCATAAGGTTACGCAGAGCGTCAAACAGCTGTGTGAAATGGAACGAAACCACGCCAGACTATTCAAAACTGGAATCGAACGCCCCCCCCAGAACTACACATGCTGGATGCTGGCTATTGTGTTTCGCCAAATGTTCTATGGGACGTCTCTACTGAACGTTTTCGTTTTTCCCACAATTAGAAGTTGCCAGTATTAAACACATTGGCGTTATCAAATGTAAAACTATTATATATTATTTATTATAATTAATAAATGGGTGAAAATCGCTATATATACCCACATGACAGCTCATTGTTACTTTGTAATTCTACTCCACTACAATTCAGAGGTTAACCTGGTATTTTTACTCCACTGCATTTATTTGAGTTACTTTGCAGATTCTGATTAATTATGTGAAATATAAACAACCCTTAAATCAGACTTTAGTTACACCTGAGTAAAATTCAGGTAAGGTGATTGTCAAGTGCCAACAATCAGGAGAGATATTTGATAGTTGGTGCTTGAGAAGACTAAACATGTATCTGCAATTGACATGAATGGAAACGAGTAATAAAGTATATTCATTACTCGTTATTCTCTACTAATAGTTCATTAAAGACTGTATATTATGGCTATTTTGCACATCCCTTTCAAGATTTTCAAAGGTTTATTGACATATCATATACACAACTACGGTGTAGTTATGCAATGAATGAAACACTTGGGTCACAGGTTCCTCAACAGTGCATTACAAGACATCTATCAATATGTGTGAACCTCCACCATTAAACTGTCATATTCTGCACATTTCTTATTCTATCTACATACATACGAGTATAATTCATATGTATAATATCAGTTAAAATAAGTGCTTCAACATAGTTAACATAGCAGGAAAGCAATATATTAGACGTTAAGTACTTTGTCAGGCTTAATATTTATCTGTAGATAGATACCCCCAACGTTTTTTTCTTATTTAAAAGAAGACCTTAATCTGTTATTTACGGAGCCCCCTAGGGGACATGGAGAAGAAAAAAAAAAAAT